AAAGCTCCTTCTGGAAGAGGAGAAGCACGTTAGCCTACAGTCTCCATTTTACACGTGGGGACACAGAAGCCACACTGAGACACAGAACCTGTGTGGACTCTGAGACAGGATGGGAATCACGCCAAGATCCAATCTACCACGTAGTGGTCATGGCCGTGACTGAGTCCAACATCCAGGAAGTGATGACCTGAGACAGGGATGGGGAGGAGGGCCGGCACCAGGCCAAGGACCAATAATTGGTCCACGGTTATGAAGCTAAGGCCACAGTGGACCATCTGCACTCTCTAGTCCAGACAGGACGGGCAGGACAGCCAGGGCTGGGCATCAGGGCCAAGCGGACCGGCCTTCAAGATCGAACTTAGTGCAACCAACCTACCTGATTAAGAGAAAAAAAAGCCAAATTTCAGAATCCCCCCAATAACCCACAGCCCCAGGATCATTTGCTGCCTTGCAGGACTCTGGCCTCTCCAGGGACCAAGAGACCCCCAGGAGACACCTGAAGCCCATTTCTTGGCTGTTGAGTTTCCTTCTCTGCATTTATCTTGGTCCTTGTGAATGGAAAGGAGCTGGTTTCTTTGCATCACAAATAGCTCTTAGCACAGTCACGGAAGAAGCCAAGCGGCCTTCCTTCCCGTTTCACACAGGACAACCTCCACCTCTCCCGATCAGCCGCCACTGGGCGTACAGATGAGCCAAACTTATAAATTAAATCGGAAGTCACAGCTGACCTGGGTCTGAATAAGCCTGGGTTAAAACCGGTCTCACTGAACATAGAGGACAATGAGGACTACTGAGACATCAAGAACAATGGCAATGGGTTTTTGATCCTATTGCATGTATTGGCTTTGTGGGAGCCTAGGCTGTTTGGATGCTCACCTTACGAGACCTGGACAGAGGAGGGTTTTCCTTGGACTTCCCACGGGACGGGAGGGAGGGAGCGGGACATGATTGGGGGAGGGGGAGGGAAAGGGGAGGCGGAGGTGGGGAAGAGACAGAAATATTTAATAAATAAATTTAAAAAAAAAAATCGGAAGTCATCTCTCCCCTTATCCCAAAGGGGATTTTCTCAGATTAAGAGCTAAGCCTTCACTTCTCTCCCCTCCACTAAGATGCTCACTGACGTGCACAGTGCACTCTTCACGCAATAGACTGACCATGGCTAGCTTCTGCTTGGTGTCTTGTGAGCATCGTTAGCTCACCAATCAAGTTACCATCCTGTAGTACAGAGAAGCCTGCCCATACCGCGGTGTGTGGGAACATGGGCCCCGTGTGTTCTGGCCCCGCATCACAGTGCGGTGGTTAACATTCAAAATCATTGCCTGCCTGCTCCCTGGGTGTAGGTTAGCAGGACCTGGGTAAAGGACCTCAGGTGTAGGGATGCAGGGCCATCTAATCTGAGCTTGAGATGGTTTGCTGAGCTTTTTGCTCCCACGAAAGTCACGCGGCACCACCATCCTCCCCGAGAGCCGCGGAACGAGGACACGTAGTGAGTGGTTGACCACCTGGAGCTTTTCTGGTAACAGTGGCTGAAAGCAAAAGTTGGCCGCCTATTCAGGTAGGCTCGCCTTAGCCACATAGTGGTCATGGTGAAGCCAAAGCTGTGACTGAGGCTGAGACCTTGAACTTAGAACCAGGGATGGCTCAGTTAACCAAGTGCTGGGCACACAAGCATTCTGTCTCCCAGCACCCACCTAAAACTTGGGCAGGGTGACACGCATCTGTAATCCCAGTACTGGAAAAGCAAAGACAGGTTTTATCCCTGGCTGGCCAGTCTAGTCTAGTCTGTGAACTCCATGCCAAGGAAAAAGACTCTTTCAAAAACTAAGGTAGGAATCAATTGAAGACACTCAATATTGACCTCTGGGCTCTACGTGCAACACATACACAAGTGTACACACCAAAACCAAATAAACAAATAAATAATAAATAAATAGAAACATTTGAAAATCTTGGGGTCTCCATCACATTTCCCTCTAACTTAACATCCCTCATTTAAGAAATCAAGGTCCTTAGAGGAGCTTTGTGGGAGTGTAGGTGATACTGAGACCCTTTGTGTCTAGGCCCCTGACAGAGGCTCCCAGCGGGTGCCACCAGCACTCCCCAGCTCCCGGAAATCAGCAAATGCTGCACAAGGAGGCAGTGCTGGGCATCACGGGAGAACAGCAGCTGAATGTGTGCCAAGTGCTCCTTTCCCGGCACGATTCCCTACGGAACAGAAGGTGACTACAGACACGGTACCACATCGGACCGGATTTAAACCATGTGGGAAGATGTGTTTAGATTACACACCATCTAACCCTGCTTGATAGGGAGACCTTGGGTACGGGGTGTGGGGATCAGGAAGGTTCCTGCAACCAGACTCCAGGAATACTGAGGGGTGGGATGGCTGCGACTTTCTCCCAGCCTCCTCTCTCTCTCTCTCTCTCTCTCTCTCTCTCTCTCTCTCTCCTTCACAACAGGATATAAAAGCACTTCCTTTACAGTCAGACTTTGAACCGCACTGGTAACAAATGTGGTGGCACGTGTTATTTATAGAACACGAAAGATGGGCATCTCAGATGGAATGTTGCTTTGTGGCTATCTCCGGGTGAAATCATGGTGGGGGCGGGGGCGGGGGGGGCCTTCAGTAGATTTCAGTTCCCAGGTGCCTTTTACTATCAGGTAGATAAAGAAGTATTTTTAAGAGTTTTGTCATTTAGCCAGGTGTGGAGACACACACCTGTGACCCCGGCATTTGTGTGGCAGAGAAATGAAGTTTGAGTTTGAGGCCAAAATATGTCTCAGAATAACAACTATGCTGTCATTCAAGAAAGAAAAAAAAACCCACCCTTTCTGTCACATCTCTCTGCACCAGCCATGGCCCCCAGCAGACACTTGCCTGGGCTGGGTGCAGGTCCCAGCAGCTGGCTCTATTTCTTTGGCACCACGTGCAGGCCGCTGTGCAGAATCTCACCAACCTCTCTCCTCTCGTTCCCACCTTGGCCTCTGGAGCACCCATAAAGCAACTGCCTGTGTTCTCGTGATCTCTGCACTCCCTCTGTCCTGAGGGTATCCTGGGCCTCTTGCCAAGCAGAGAGAAACTGCCCTTGAACTGGAAGACAGGGGCGGCTATGAGGGATGCAGAGCGGCCATGGTTTTGGGAGGCAGGAGGATGGACTATCAGCTTCTAGCAACTTTTGCTGTCTGAGTGACTACACAACTCCTTGAGCCTCGCTTCTGTTGTCAACAAAGCGAGGAGAACACTTGGAGAACGGATGGGAATCCATGCCAAGTGAGACAACAGCTCTCGGGGAGGCCCAGCGGGAGTGGGCACTATTGCCACAGATAATCCAGAATCTAGGGGCTGGCCAAGCTCTCAACACCGGATGCATTTTAAAGCACCTGGCAGAGCCCTTTAGAAGATCCTGAGGGCCAGGACAGGCAAGTGTGCCCATGCGGCTACAGTCACAAAAACGGCCTTTCCCGGTCTTCCTCTCTCTCCCAGATCTATGCCCATTTCAGCCTCTCCAGAGACCCAGGCAGAGATCCTTCAACACCCAAATCCGGTTCGGAATTTGCGTGGAATCTATGCTTGCCCACTGTGTCAGGTGGAAACTGTTCTCAAAGCACTTCTGCTTGGGTTTCTGCCGGGTGTTTTGTTTTCTATCAGACGATGAGCAAAGATGAAGCCTCCTGGATGCTGGGACATCCTCTAGGCCAGTGGTTCTCAGCCTTCCTAACGCTGTGGCCCTTTAATCCAGTTCCTCATGTTGTGGTGACCCCCAACCACAAATTTATTTCGTCGCTACTTCATAACTGTAATTTTGCTGGTGTCGTGAATCATAATGTAAATATCTGATACACAGGATATGTGACCCCCCTCCAAGGGGTCATGACCCACAGGCTGAGAACCACTGCTCTAGGCATTATGTACCAGGTGATCAAAAAGTCCCTCTCGAAAAGCAAAAGCTCAACCCACACAGAGAGAAGTCTCCACTGTGTGTAGCCTCAAAGCTGCAAAGCAGCTTCCCCTGGGAACATGGGGAGGTGGTCCCACACCATGTATGATCTATAGCTTCCGAACAGCTAACCCTGGGAGTGGGACCCACCATCAGTTTGAACACACCCTTCATGTGACTGGTTTGTTCACGTTGGGGGGCCTCTATGTGAGTGGCCTCCTCCAGCCAGGCAGCAAGGAAGATGCTTGTGTATTTATACAAGAACAGTTGCAGGTTCCCTGAATCTTCAAATCCTCGTGGCTGTTTCTGGACTCTTCTCTCTCTACCTTCAACAGCTGTTCCATGTAACTTCTTCAGCATGGGTCCCTCAGCCTCGATCTGCCTTCCTGGCAGAAGCACACCCCTGACCCCGTGTGAATATCACATTTCCCAGCAGACTGCAGACACGCGTGCACACACATTTATAAATCCAGCTCTGAATTCAGGTCGCATCCCTTTTTCTAGTGACATTTACTGAATATTCCTCATAAGAAATCCTGCCAGAAAACTTAAGTTTGCCTCTTTGACGTGTCCATTTTTAAACTTATCTCTTCAGGTTCTAAGAAGAATAAATGTACTGCAAAATTTTCCCATTGTCATTATGACCAAGAGGTCACTTCCAGCTCTGGGCCACCAGCAGCAAGGGAGTTATTGGGACATTTGTACAAAAGCAGCCTCGGATTCCCCGCTGCTCTTTCGAGACTTCCCTAACTGTCCCTCCCTTCAATGGCTGCCACGTTTCTTTAACCTGTGTCCCTCAGACAGACCCAGTCCTCATCCCATCTGGGTAGGAAAGGCTGAGAACCCCAGTGGTTCAAACAGCGCACAGCACAGGAATCAACACGGTCCAAAGTCACAACCCAGGGTTCCCCAACCTTCACCAATCAGGGCTCAGGAACCTTGGCCTGCATAGCTGGATGAGGTACTTCCTAGGGAATGTGGCATTTCCCTGAAGAATTCTCCCAGGCCTGGAGAGAACACATAGCTTTTCAGAGCAAGGCACGGGCAAGGAGGTCACTTTACCTGGTCCTGGAGCTTCTGGAACATCAGAGGGTGTGGTTCTTCCAGAATCTTTTCACTGAGCCGAGACTGTCCCTCCACGTTGACTTGTGAAGAAGCCTTGTTGGACAGGAAGGTCATGTAGATCTCCTTGGCCTTCTCCTGCATCTGGAGGAGACAGAGGAGCTGGACTGTTACCCACCAGAACAGCCTTTCCTGGCCTGAAGCCAGCTCCACCCTCCGGCCGGCCCTGGAAGAGCTGCAGCTGGGAGCTATTGCCGGCTCCAGAGCCCAGCTCCCTGAGAGGGCCTACAGCAGCCCAGCCTACCCCATACCTACTAATACATGTGCAGCCAAGTCTCCTGAAACCAAACTGCCAGACTGATCACTCAAAAACACTGAACATGGGACCCCACCATGACTCGAAACCATCCCGTGAGAACCGCAAACTCAGAGCTCATGGAAACCTTAATCGGCCTCGACGGGGAATGAAGCACTCGCTAGTCAGAGTTCCGCCCTGAATGAACCTTGGAACGGCTGAGCTACGTGAAGAAAAGCAGACACAGAGGCTGCATAATCTCATTCATGGGAAAACCTAGGATGTGCGGACCCCCAGAAACAGAAAGATTAGTAGCTGCTCGGGGATCGCAGGAGGAAGAAACGGGAATGGAGGTGAAGAGGACAAGCACCTGCGCCTTCACGCAGTTTGGGCTGTGCACACATCCTTCTTCCAACGCTGCCTTGGCAGCCTAGGGCTGTCACCTGCGTGTGTATATGCGCAGGTACCGCTATCCTAACAATGCACCTAGGGACCTACTGACCTAAGACCCCCATCTGCGCTGGGCTACACAAACAGCCCACCCCTCTCCTCAACAGCCACCAAACATATTCAAGTCCCCAGTCACAACCAGGTGCATTGTCGGGGCCATTCTGTCCAGAACCGGTTTGGGGTGGATGAGCAATAGGACAAACTGAGTCCTCTAAGTGAAGCTTTAGGGAGAATCCTCTGTCTACCATCTTATAACTCTGTTCAACCGAGTGTGCTTATGATTCAGATCAGATGCATTATGGGAAGGGATAAGCACAGTAAACGTTGTATCGTAGACATGTCAATCAAAATAGAGAACCACCCAAAGCATAGCCCTTAGTAACCAGCGCTTCCTCTAGACCCAACATAGTAATCCCATTCAATAACCTGAGGCCCCGAGTATGCTCTCACTCATGTGACACCCCCCCCCCCACATAATTTAGATTAGATTTGAATTTTTTTTTTTTTTTTGAGTATTTTGAGATGGGGTTTCTCTGTGTAACAGTCCTGGCTGTCCTGGAACTCACTCTGTAGACCAGGCTGGCTTGGAACTCACAGAGATCCGCCTACCTCTACCTCCCGAGTGCTGGGGTTAAAGGCATGCGACACCACTGCCTGGCTCTCTCTGTCTCTTTTTAAAGACAGAGTCTTCCTCTGTAGTCCTGGCTGTTCTGGAACTCACTCTGTAGACCAGGTTGGCATCAAACTCACAGAGATCCGCCTGCCTCTGCCTCCCGGGTGCTGGGGTTAAAGGTGTGTGTGGCACCACATGCGGTGTCTGCTGCAGCTCTTGACGGAGCATGTCTTTCTGAGCTGTACTATGGCTTCTCTGTTGAGTAGTTTCCTTGCTACTTTACAATCTCTCCGCACCTTTCTTTCAGTTCCTTGCCTGAGAAGCTGGAGACACCTGGACCAGACTCTGACCACCCGGAAGAAAGGTGTGACAGTCACAAGGATTTTCTGTTGCGTTGAGAGAATCTGGATCTCACAAGTGGCAGCGTCTCTACACAGCACTGTGACCACACTCAAACGAAGTTTTTATTATGTGTGTTTCACCAGGACAGACGAAGTCCCGTGAAACCACACACACGTGCATGTCTCGCGGCCAGTGCCTGCTGTACTGCAGACACACTAGGCCGGTTCCCTTCCCTTAACCTCTTGGTCTCTTTCCCTGTTAATGCTGGTGTCCTGATGAGGACCAGGGCCAGGACAGGTGATATCAGAACTGTCTCTAATTCCAAGCTTCAAGCCCACTCAGGTCCCATGAGAATCACTGAGCTCTCCAGGTGCATGGCTCCTCAGTCTTCCGGAAGAGGGTATTTCCCTTCAGGTAACCAAACACTAAGAGTAAGTAATGCAGCGGGCACTCACTGCCTAGGAGTCCCTAGTGCGGCCTTGCTGGAAAGCACGGAGGTGTCCCAGCAACAGTGCCAGCAAGATATTCACTCACGTGTAGTCTCATTGCACTGAGAACTGTGCCAGGGCTGTGACATACCCCATGGCAGAAGCCATCTGAACCGTGACAGGCTGTGACCTTCCCTGATGGAAGGTGCTAACTACACTAAGCCTGTCTTCAAAGTGCCTCGGGCAGGGCAACGGACTCAGCAGTCTCACAAGAATTTCCCCAGAGGCTCCCTTACTTGAAAAGGAAGATTTGTGTGCACCTGCCTCCCAGTAGCAGAGACAGTTACTGTGTCAACCTCAGGTCTCGGGCCCCTTCTGACCCCATGGAGCGAGGCAACGGGGAGATGCCTTTAGCGTGGTGAGCACAGCTGTGGTTTGTGCAGGAGATGATGAGGTCAGAGGCCCTAAGAAAACACTTTTCTCCCAGAGAGGCCCTCAGCCTCTGAGGATGCTTGCAGAGCTTGGCTAAGGGAAAAATGGGCTCTGAAAACTTCTGCTCTTAGGAAAATCCTAGGAAGGTTTCAATTAATAGAGCTTGACAGCAGAGAAAATAAGCTTGTTTTATGGCAGAGACTAGGAGGCAGAAGACCCCAGGAGGCTGAGGCCTGACTAGACCCCTGCTGTTACAGGACAGTGCCTAGGTGGGGTCACCACTCAAAGCCCTGCGTCTGTTCTTTCTTGACTACAGGAACAATTAATTAATGTCAAGCCCAAAGACATAGGAGCCTCTTAAGATAAATATGACTGTTCCTAGGATAGGCCTGGGGACCGTGAGGAGGTCCAGAGCAGCCAGCAGTTTGGAACTTCACGTCTCTCAAAGGCCCACAGAGCCATGAGCCTCTCCCACCACCGCCATTTTGTCAGAAGGGAACATTTTTGGAAACCCACTTCCTGTTTTAGTTACTTCATGAAAGTAGAATTTCAGTCAGCCAGACGAGCAAACTGCATGCCTGTGTGCAGCCCTCCCCCTCCACCCGCGAGACATCCATCCACATAGACGTGAACGCTCTGTCATGTGTGTATGCACACACGTGGCCCACATGAACGCAGGCTGTCTTGAGTGGTTCTGAAAATGAGACAGGCAAATGAGCAGCTTGAGACGCTAATGTGGGGGCAGGTGGCCCAGGGGAGAGGAAGCAGGTGCCAGGGCTGCAGATGTCCAAACCCTGGCCCTCAGCCAACCCTCTCCCTCGTCAGCCACCCTTCCCCAGCCTCTGAGGGCAGGATGAGCCCCTGTGCTGACCCAGCGGGGGCAGCGGAACGAGTGAGCAGCAGCAGGAGTCTCTCCGGGCGAGGATAGGAAGTGCGACCGAAAAGAGAAGCTCCGGGACTGCTGACCACAGGCCGGTCACGGGAAGAAGGCCTGGTGTCCAGGCTGAGAACACTCGACAGAAAAGGAGAACTGGTCACTTGAGCTATTCTGGTAGGTTTTTCCAGAGCAGTGTTAACCCTGTTCTAGCTGCTGTAAGAAGAACAGACGCCCCTTGATGGAGTCGGTTCTAGGTCTGTGAAGACACTACCCGGCATGGCCAGCCGTCACCCACACCACAGTCCTAAGAAATAGATGTGCCAGTCTCTGGCACCTAAGTGAGCTCCTCCAGACACAAGCCAGGGCCTTGCCTTCAGGTACTATAATGCCTGGTTTGCAGCAGCCCTGGGTAGGAAGTCAGCCCTCCCTCCATTCCTGCTCCCGACCAATACAGGTTCAAGAGAAGCTTATTCACTTCGCTCACAGACCCAGACACCCATCTGCTCAGAACAGCGAAGTAATGGGCTGCCCAGCACTTAGGAGGGTGCAGTGTGGTCCGTTCCCCACCCCCATGCCCACTTAGGGCACACCCTGATGTTCTGCCACCTTAAAAGCTTTTACATCACGTCCCCGTGGCAAACAGCCTCCTCGCTCCCGATTTCCAAGATGCATCTCAGAGAGACACATCCTCCGGTGGCTCCCCCATCCACTCTTCCACCTTTCTCAGCTGAATCCTGCACCTCCAACCATAATGCCCGGGGGATTGTGCAGCTTCCCAGTCGCTAAGCCCTTCCAGAGTCCTCTGGGTGCCTCTCTGGCTCCAGTCCTGTGTGCCTTGCCTGCCTTCTTCCTTCACCCTTCTCCCTCACCAGAGGAGCCCAGTTCTCTCAGGATCCGCAGACCCTGTCTTTCTCCTTTACCGGGTCCGGTGCCCTCCTAGCCCCTCCCTAAACTCGAGTCCTGCCCTGGAGGCTCTAACTACATGCTCCACCACGCAGCCCAACAGTCTCCCAAGTTGTAGTGTTAAAATATATCAAAATAATAATAATAATACCATCGACTCCCATAACTGTAAGCTTTGAAATACTATTAAAATATAAGGGACTGTCATATTTAAATGCTGGCACAAAGGTTGACCCAGCTCTTAGAGCTGTGAACACTGGAAACCGGTCCCTACTCTACCTCCCCGCGCCATTCTCGATATGGTCTGTACAAGGTCAAGTACTTTTCAATACTTGCCACGTAGTAAACAGGCTCAGTGTATAAGAGAGCTGACGGATGAATGAATGAATGAGTGAATGAATGAAAGAACAAATGAACTCAGGCTTAGCCAAAAATGAATGCCTTGTTGGAGCTTTCTCTGGAGTTCTCTTTAAAGATTTATTTCCATTTTTAATTATCTGTATATTATGGGGTTTGTGCACATGTTTGTGTTGGAGTTACAGGAGGTTGTGAGCCAGCTGGCGTGGGTGCTGGGAACCAATCCCTGGTCCTCTGGGAGACTAGCCTGGGCTCTGAACTGCTGCACCATCTCTCCAGCCCCATCTCTGTGGTTTTGTAAGGTGTGATGCTGAATTGCCCTAGAAGTTAGCCGTACATCACGGGCTGACTCACCTGAGAGAATAAACCACAGAGCAATGGAAGCTGCGGACTACAGATACATGTGAACAGGAGATGAGAAGTGTCACTTTCCCCCGTTTCCCAAAGTCCCCAGCCTTCCCTTGACACCTGCAATGTCGGACCTCCCTCAGCCATGGCCCTGCTGGCCCAGTGGTCTGCCGGGTCACAGTGGAACACAGACCAGGAAAGACAATCAAGACATGGGATGTTCCACTCTTCCAGGCACCTAAGAATGAAAGTCTCAGTAGACTAGAATGTATTCCAAGCCCATTGTCATGGCCGGGGAGGGCACACTTTCATCCCACGGGGAGGGAGGACCACATTGCATGCCTGGCACGGGTGTAGGTGTTTGGATATCATGGAGAGGAAGAAACACAAAGATACCTGCACTGATGAGCATGAGAGGGGGGAAAGACAGGCTACAAAAGGTGGAGAAGTGAATGGTACAAGATGCTCAGGATGAGAGAGTGTGAGATACCCACCGAGGAGAGGAGAGGCGGGGAAGCCCTTGCCACACAAGTGTGAGCACCAGAATTTGGATCCCTGGAACTTTCATATGGTGGCTTTCCCTGCAATCTCAGCCTGGGGAAGAGTCAGTGCGAGCTGGCTAGTGAGACCAGCCGTAAGAACAAGCTCCGGGTTCTGTGTCGACGACTAAGTGGAAGGGTGACGGAGGATGATGATTCTTCACATCAACTTCACGCCTTCACATGCATGTTCTCACATGTACATGAGCACCCACATGTGTGCCCACACACATACAAAACACTTAGGCACACATGCACACACACACGCACACACACATACATACACGCATGCACATGCAAACACGCAAACAGAAAGAGAAAACCAAATCAACAAAGTTGTCCTTAAACTGGAAGAGGTTTGACAGCCTGATTTGCGTCAAGCTCGCAGCTGCCTCAATTGACTGCAGAGAGAGATTAAAGCCTCCCACGCTCCCTCTGGGGCAGATGTGGTAAGTCTGATTGTGAAATTCGGTTAGGTGCCTTCTGCGGGGCCTGCCTCTTCCTACACTCCTCAAAACCAGTATCTCGGAGCTGATTGCCTGGTTTTGCCTCCCCAGCAGCAGGACCCAGGCGAGCCTGTGGGCGGGGAGCCAGAGGTTGGTTCTATGCGCTGATGCAACACGTGAGGTAGCCTAAGATGGGCTGCCGCTGGCCTCCCAAATCACACCCCTGCATCTGCGAATGGGAGCGTGTGAAGGCTCGACGCTGTCGCCCAGACCAAGACCCAGACATGCCGTGTCACCAGTGACTCCACTTTTCCCATTATGCTGGCTAGTTTTATGTCAAGCAAGCTAGAGTCATCTGCGAGGAGAGGGTCTCCGCTGACAAAATACCTCCGTAAGACTGAGCTATCAATAAGCCACCGTTGTGGGTGGTGCAAACCCTGGGCTGGTGGTCCTGGGTCCTATAAGCAAGCCAGCTGAGCAAGCCATGATGAACAAGCCAGTGAGGGGCATTCCTTCACAGCCTCTGCATCAGCTCCTGCCTCCAGGGGTCCTGCCCTGTTTGAGCTGCTGCCCTGACTCCCTTCAGTGATGGACTTTGATGTGGAAGTGTAAGCCAACGAAAGCCTTTCCCCTCCAAGTCGCTTAGCTTCATCCCAGCGATAGTAACCCTAACCAGCACAGAAATCGGTAGCAGGAGTGAGGTATTGCTACCACCGCCCTGACCATGGAGTTCTGGGGGGGGATTGTAGAAGGACCTTGGAACTTTGGGCTAGAAAAGCCACTGGGCCTCCAAAGCTTGGTGAGCTATTCTGTGGGAGCTTGGAAGACGGGGGTTGCTGAGAGATGCAGACGATGGAGGCCTGGCTTGAGAGGCTCCAAAGGAAAGTTTGAGACAAGCATCTTGGTTCCTTGGGCAGAGGGGGGAGCAACGCAGCACTCCTATCACCGCGAATGTTCCAATCGTAGGGACTCAAGCCTTCCGGAGCCCCGTGATAGGCGCTGGGCTTGGGGGTGAAGAGAAGGGCTGCTGAGTCTATTTCCACAGTATGTAACAGAACAGCGCCACCCAGTCCTACAGCTGCCACACACAACATTAAGGTCCTGTAGGGACTTTCCAAGGCCACGGCATGAGGTCCCCTTCGTGTCATGTGCCCACATTCCTAGATTTGACTACACCTACCCTTAGCTTCAAACACAGCCCCGGAGCGGCTCCACCTGGCAAACGGGACCCTCCCACCCCTGAGCTGATCTTCCCACCGGTTGTTCCTGCTCCTAGAGTCACTAGTTCCCTCTCCTCGGCCACCATTGCAGGGTTCAGGCTACAACTCACTTCCTAGTAGACCTTGGGGACTCCACTGCCCAAGTGTCCTTAGGCCTCACACTTCCCGCCTCTACAAACATCACACTTGCAGAGCTTTGAAAGACGCTTCCCTGCTTTGTTCACGAGGTGGATGTCTCTCTCCACGGCTTTTCACGATGCCTGGCACTGAGCAGGCGCTCTGCAATGACTGGGCACTCCATAAGAACAGACACACACAGGGCAGGTGTGCAGGGGGATGGCTGGCTGGCTCCTGAGCACTGCTTGAACCCAGCTCTACTCAGGGCCTTGGCTTCCTGTCTGGGCCACAAGGATAGATCTGTTCTCTGTGGTCCTCCCCACGCCTGAAGTCTTCAAGGCCACCCGACTCAGTTAGATGCTCAGAGCGCGATGCTAGTGACACCAGATGCACAAGGCCAGCAGACAGCTGGGCTTCTCCCAGGGCTGTCTTCAGCGCTGGGGACAGAGAAGAATGGTGTGTGTTCCTTCCCAGGGGACCTCAACCCTGAAGCCAGCTTTCCAATGCTGGTGCCACTTCCCACTTCCTCGCTAAGTCCCTTCTCCCACCAGGATGTTCTGGGGGAAGAAACGGCAGAATGAATGACACAGACAGAAGCCACAGTCATTCCTCACAGAGCCAGGCCAGCTTGGCAGACTCAAGCCAGAGGAACCCACCTCTGAATCACTTCTCACCCATCCTAAAGAGGAAGGCCACCAGCCGCTCCCTCCTGGGAAGAGAGCCTTGGAAGTGGTGCATCTTCCAGGCTGTTGTTTGCAAACAGTTCACGGCTACTGGCCCTGGAGAGTCTAGCTTCTAGAGACAGAACCTCCAGACCTGGCATCCTATAAGCTACAGCTGTCTGGAGAGGCGTTCTATCTGGAGGGCGAGTGCGGTGGATTGAATGAGATTGGCCTTCTTAGGTGCATCTGCTTGAATGTCTAGTTCCCAGCTGGGGAACGGTTTGAGAAGGATTAGGAGGTGTGTCCTTGTTGCAGGAAGTGTGTTACTGGGGGATTTCAAAAGCCCATGGTAACCAAACGGCACACTGCCTCTGCCCACACACTGGACGCAGACTCTCTCTCTCTCTCTCTCTCTCTCTCTCTCTCTCTCTCTGCGCAAGCATACTTGCATGTGCCTTCCACCTATGGACCAGGATGTAAATTCTCAGCTACTGATCCAGCTCCATGCCTGCCTGCCTTCATGCTACCGTGCTTCTCATATGATGATCACGTACTAACCCTCTGAAACTGCAAGCTACCCCACCCCTCCCAGTTAAATGCTTTTCTGGTCTAAGTTGCCTTGGTCATGGTGTCTCTTCACAGCAATAGAGCAGTAACTAAGACAGTGAGGTTATAAACTTTATAAACTAAAATTAGTTCCAATATCAACAAATTAGATGGTTTCTCTTTAGAATGACAGGCACAGGCCTGTAATCATAGCTACTCAGATGCCGTGGCCTGTCAGGAGTGAGTTCAAGGCCAACCTGGACAACCTAGTGCGCTACTGTCTCAAAAGACAGTACAAGGGCTGGTCATACGTCTCGGTAGTAAGGTTCTTGCCCAACATGGACCATATCCTAGATTAAATCCCCAGCACTAGAAGGCAACAAAGAATCCAAATGTCCAATCGTGGGAGAAGTCTCTATGAGAAGAAGGGTCCTCCAGGTCTCAGAGACAGAAGAACAAGGGTCGTCAAGCTGAGGCCCGGAGCACTCCCAGCAGCGAACAGGAGACAAAGGAGACAGGGAAGCACAGCCCTTAGACCCCTAGTGAACAGTGCAGGCATTGGAAGCAGGACGGGACATCCTCTGCTGGCCCCGGCCCCTCACTTCCAACAGCCTTGCCGAGAATCCAGACTCTTTCACGGGACTTACTGCCTTTAGTAGCCCTTTAGAAAGACAGAGAAGTAACTTCAGATCCCCACCTGGCCACCGGTCTCACATCCATCCTTCGCGAGTTGCACGGGACCTAAAGGCCACCCTGACAAAAGACCAACACCTGGGAGAAGTCAGAAACTTCCTACACAGAATGCCTGCCGGCTACCGGAGGGTCACACACAATCACAGACGGGATCTACCTGATGAACGGCCACTCGTCTACTAATCCATTGCTGGGCTCTGACAACACCAGCGTCACCTTGGGGAGCACACTCATGACTTATTCATGGCGGAAACCATCGACAGAAGGACAAATGTTTACATCTACTTTGAATATTGGCCTGCTCAAACAGTTCTCTTTAGAATTGGTTAACGTTTCTTAAAAAAAAAAATTACTAATATCTGGTCAGCCCTAGGCACCAGTTGGGGAGCTGAAATCGTCCCTCGGATCTAGTATGAATCAGGACAGTCTGGGTAGTTCCCAAATCGAGGCAACAGGCGGCTGTGACCATATCAGGAGGGAAAGCTCATGGCAAAAGCAGAGGGGCAGAAGGTACCTGATTCTTGTCCTCCATTTTCTTGAAATCTTCACACGCTAGCCAAAACAAGACATTTTCTTCACTGAATTCCTTTTTCAAAAATTCCTATGGATAAAGAAGGGGGAAGGGAATCATACGGTGCTCGGCGCTGAGAAAACCCGAGTTTCCTTTAGAAGATGACAAGGCAAAAGCGGACAGAGGAGCCTGGTTTAATCATCCCTCGAAAAAAAAAACTCCACCCGGAAAAACAAAGAACGTGTTTAATGTTGAATTCCTTACGCCTTTCACCTTAATGGTTTTGACACTGCAAGGCGGAATGGAAACGAAGCGGGGAACCTATTCGCGTTTCTCAGCCGACAATAAATTACCAAAAAGTAAATTAAAGTGGAAGATATATCGGCCCTTCCAGACACTGTTTAAACAAAGTGCATTCCTCCAGAGCCAGGCCCTTTTTTTTTTTTAAACAAAAGAAAAGGAAACATATTAAGCCTGTCCAAATCACAGTGATGGAGACCATTTGAAGTTGGAGGTGCACTGTCCTGGGACTGCTGGTCAAGTCAGCACATGGTCAGTTGTGGCTGCATCCAAACCTCCCTGGCATTTAGATGATGCTTACAGTTCTCCTCCCTGCCCCAGGAGCTCCACGGAGACCAGAGGCATCTCGGCCCTTCACTTAAAAAGCCAAGTTAGCAAGGGTCAGTACTGGAATTCACATGTGACCTTCCAAAGGACAGCAGCAGTCATAGTGGCAGGGAAAGTTATTTCTTGACAGCATCAGTCCTTCCTATCCATCAGCCCTTCCCTGTCCATCACTCCTTCCCTGTCCATCAGCCCTTTCTGTCAATCACCAGCCCTTCCTGTCCATCATCAGCCCTTCCCTGTCCATCAGCCTTTCCCTGTCCATTATAGCCCTCCTTTGGGAGATTCCCTCCCCCTGTTTCATTTTGTCAGCTACCACCCAGCCTCTCTCACCAGTACTGATGCATCCAGAGAGGCTCTGAGACTGGAAAGAACGAACCTTCATGCCCGAGAAACCCAGATCATCCCTGCCAGTCCTGGTAATCCTTCCAGAACCCACACTGGTAGAGCATCCTCCCCTACCACTCCACTCTCCCCACTCCTGATATATGAAAACCAGAGACAGGCTTCACGTCCCTTTGGAAGTCCAAGGTGGTCATGAAAGATGAGCAGTTCTTAGTCTCTAGCTGGAGCAGACAGTGATAACCATTGTCCTGGTCCCTGTGCCCCCACCCCCATCATACGCACATCTAAGTTTCTCCTATTGCGTCAGTTCCAACGAACAATGAAAAGACAAACCCTGAATCTCTTCACGCCTTCTGGGTCTTCCAGAAGATTCTCCAAGGAGGTTGCCCACTTGGCCGTACTCTTGAGGCCTTGGTGGCTGCTGCTGGAGCTCCCGTCACCATCATGGATATCTACGAGACACGGTTCAGACAAGGTCACCACCCAAAGAGTGTCCGGTGCAGACGGCGCACGTGAGGCTATCACGGTCAATCTGTACTGCAGGTCACCACCGCTGTCACCAAACCAGCGTGTGCTAGAGACAGTCACAGAAGACTCTACGGAGGTAGGTGGGACCACTATTCCCTCTGTGGTTCAGGGAAAAAAGGTTAAGACAAAAAAAAAAAAATGAGGCTCAGAGCAAGGGACTTGCCATTTCTGTTACATCCTGTGACATCCCGGTTTGTCTGTCCACTGGCCCTTGCATCTGTCTGCAACCCACCACCCACGGACCCGTGACCCAGCATCGATTCCTTCCTCTCCCCTTTTGCAGTATGGTGACTCCATGGATCTGAAAGCTCCAATACAGCAGCGTGTTTCTTCCGTGGTACATAAGGAAGAGTGTGAAGCAGGGACAGGGTGAGGACGATCACACCCAGAGGTGTCAAGAGACGCAGGCATCAAGATAAACATCTTCATGCATTTTTTTAATTCAAAATTAATGCTCAGAGAATCCAGAATGGGTCTAGGTATGTATGTGTGGGGTAGAAAGCCTGCCTAGCATGTGCAGGGTCCCAGGCTCTATCCCGAGTCCCAGAACAAAGAAAATCCATGATAAGCAAATGCCAACATTTTAAATAACGCAGCAACAGTCCCCATGTTTCCTTTCATCTGGACCCCAAGCATAGTTTTGCATCATACTTCACCAGTTTTTATTTAAAGTTCTAATGTTGAGTTCATCGCGAAGGGCTCTGCATTAGTTCCGTTTAGTTTCTTTTCAAAAAAATATGTCATATCGCTAAAAACATAGCTGGGGATGTGGCGCAGTTGGGAGAATGCTTGCCCCGCACTCACACGTTCCTTCCTTAGCTACACAAAGCAGCCATGGTAGCACCTGCCTGGGATCCTAGCCCTGGGGAGGTACAGAGATCAGGAGTTCAGTCATCCTTGGCCCCATCGTGAGTTCAAAGCCGTTTTGAGAAATATGAGTCGCTGTCATGAATGAATGAATGAATGACCTATCACGGACCCCGAGGCAGCCCCCTAACCTGGTGGTGCACAGGGTGAATGGGTGACTACGTGGAACATTTTACATGAACAGGGTTGACGTTTAACATCCTCTTACCAAAGAAAGAGTGACAGAGGGTCTCAGACTATCAGACTGGGGCCACTCGGCTGAAGGAGGAAGCAATGCATAAAACACGTCTATGGCCCTGGCTCAGTCCTAGAATCACGGGAATCATGGGAAATCTGCCAGCATGCACTTTGGTTGGGTCCAAGTTCAAAGCCCAGCTTGACTGGCTTGAAACACAGAAGGTTGTGGTAAAATTCGTGCGTGCACTGCAGAGGAGCCTCTGAGCTCAAGGTCATCTGGGGATTCAAGACCGCATATGTTCTCCGCAGCAGGCAGAAAGATTTTACATGTTCCCAACACAAAGGAATGAGGCGACTCTGAAGTGGTAGATACGACAACTACCCTCACCCGATCCTGATACGACATTGGTTTAAATGTCTCACCATACCTACCAAATATATAGAATTATTATGTCTCTATAGAAGAATGAAAATACCACTGTGCATAAAACCCAAGTCCAAATGGATCAAAGACCTTACCATAAAGCCAGTCACACTGAACCTCATAGAAGAAAAAGTGGGAAGTACACTTGAACTCATTGGCACAGGGAATCACTTCCTAAATATAACCCCAGTAGGACAGACATTGAGAGAAACAATTAATAAATGGAACCTCCTGAAACTGTAAAAGCTTCTGTAAAGCAAAGAACATGGTCAACAAGAAAAAATGACAGCCTACAGAATGGAACAATGTCTTCACCAACCCCACATCAGACAGAGGTCTGATCTCCAAAATATACAAAGAACTCAAGAAATTGGTCATCAAAAGAACAAATAATCCAATAAAAAAATGGAATACAGACCTAAACAGAGAACTCTCAACAGAGGAATCTAAAATGGCTGAAAGACACTTAAGGAAATGTTCGAGAAATGCAAATCAAAACAACTCTGAGATTCCATCTTACACCTATAAGAACGGCCAAGATCAAAAACACTGATGACAACTTATGCTGGAGAGGTTATGGGGAAAAGGGAACACTTCTGCATTGCTGGTGGGAGTGCAAGCTGGTACAGCCCCTTTGGATATCAGTGGGGCGATTTGTCAGGAAATTAGGAAACAACCTTCCTCAAGACCCAGTAATACCACTTTTGGGTATATATCCAAAGGATGCTCAATCGTGCCACAAGGACATGTGCTCAACTATGTTCATAGCAACAGTGTTTGTCATTGCCAGAACCTGGAAACAACCTAAATGCCCCTCGACCCAAGAACTGATAAGGTAAATGTGGTATATTTATACAATGGAGTACTACACAGCGGAAAAAAATAACACCTTGAAATTTGCAGGCAAATAGATGGATCTAGAAAACATCACTTTGAGTGAGGTAATTCAGCCCCATAAAGACAATTATCATATACACTCATAAGTGTTTTTTAAACATAAAGCAAAGAAAAACAGCCTACAAATCACAATCCCAGAGAACTTAGACAACAATAAGGACCCTAGGAGAGATATACATGGATCTAATCTACATGGTAAGTAGAAAAAGACAAGATCTCCTGAGTAAATCGGAAGCATGGGGACCATGGGAGAGAGTTGAAGGGAGGGAGAGGCAGGGAGGGAAGCAGAGAAAAATATAGAGCTCAATAAAAATCAATAAAAAAGAAAAATCCCTAAATAAAATAAGTTTAATTACAAAAAAAAAAAGAATTATTATGTCTCCGTTGGGCGGACAAAAAATAGGAAGTGCACCTGAGAGCAGCACTCTGTCCCTTTCTCCCCTTTCTGGAAAGAACAAGCTACCGGGGAACTGTGTTCACAGCTAGCACAACACTAGAGACAAGGTTATATTAGAAAAAAAAATAAAACAACTTGAATCTAGGAGTCTAGGAGAAAGTAAAGTGTCAATTAAGAGACCAGCAAAGTAAATTACTTTTAAAGCATGATTGAAAAAAAAAATCTTATACCTTATTAATCGCTAAAAATAGCTGAAATGCTTTTTTAAGAAAATTCATATCAGAATACTCTAAACTTGGGCCCAAAGAGTTGGCTTGGCTGGTGAAGTGCCTCCCGTACAAGTGTGAGGACCAGGGTTCGATTCCCAGCACCCATATGTGAGCCCCAGGCCACTGAGAGACTCTGCCTCAATAACAAAGTGGAGGAACAACACTCAAAGTTGTCCACTGGCTTCAACACATATGTACATACACTTACATGCATATCTGCACACACACACACGTGCACACACACACACAGAGAACACTAGACTTACTAGTTGACAGCTGCTATTCGTTTAGGGTGCAAAACAACACATCCTAAACTTGATTTTGCCTGGCATTTTGAGAGAGGGTCCCACTATGTAGCCTATACTAGCCTGGAACTCACAGACTTCTGCCTTGGTCTTTCCAGGGCTGGAGTTGCCTGTCTGAACACCACACGAAGCTCCACACCTTAACCTCTTAATTTTCTGGGGCTCCATCTCCTGCACCCCTAGAAAACAGCATCAGACAGTGTGCCGATGCTTGCCGTCATGACAGATACTCATAATAGTGTGAGAAATTATTTGTGGCAGCCTCGTTCCTCTCCCCATCAAAGCCAGTTCCCCAGAACACCTACCAAACACCCTGCTGACTTCCCGAAGGGACTCTCTCTAGCACGTAGGTAAGAAATGAGTTCCTGGCTCCTATCCGTCACGGAATGACAAACTCTGGACGCAGTTTCTCCCCACATATCAGATTTTTAATCATCATTATAAGCAGTTTCCTGAAGCAGGCTCATTCCGCCAAGCATCACGGTCGCCTGCCTTCTGTCTTCTGCCTCGAGAACACGGCTTGAGTGTTGACTCCACTGCCCTGGCAGATCCTCATGAGCAAATAAACAGCAGGACACGAGCCCTGTTCTAGGAGCAACCTCGGGACGCCACAAGTTCTCTTCCATGTTTTCAGCTGTGGCCTGAAATGATGCCATAATTCTTGGTGCTCTCTTAAACATTCAACCGCACTGTGCTAGGGGGCTCACCGCCCTGCCCTCTGGCAAGTGAATGCACTTGGTGGGTTGCTCTCTGGCCACTGAAAGCTGGCCCTACTGCTGGGGAAATGCCAACACCCCTTCACTGCTGATGCTACCCCAGGTCTGTGGATTAGCTTTTAGCTGAACAAAAAGTGAGGTGGCCCCTTTGGTACCTGCGGCCAAACCCTAGCACCCACATACAGCAATACCTATATAAGCCCAGTGCTAGGGAGGCAGAGGTAGGAGGACTCGGTGGCTTACCCACAAGGCAGTAAAGCCAATCACAGAACCCCAAGTTCAGTGAGAAACCATGTCCCCAAATAACAAGGAGGAAGACACATGACATCAGTCTCTGGCTTCCACACATACGTTGTGCTCATGCACACATACACAGAATGCATGTGCACACGCACACACATAAACACAGAGGTGTACAACTCAAGGTCCACTATTCAGACTTCCTCCTTAGACTAGAAACAGACGTGCAAGAAAACAACTTGTCCTGGATGACACGTTTACAGAATCACCACATGGAACCAGCGGGACCTATCTATCCCCATCAGGACTGCTTCCATATGACTCCAGAGTCCTTGGAACACAGGGAACGGTAGCCTCTCACAGGTAAGCTCCAGGACTCTCATCTTCCTCGCGTCAAGACATAACAATAATACTGGGTGGTGTGAGGAGACACTTAGAAAGGTATTCTCAAAAGTCCTGGTTCCTGGTGTTTTGACTTCAGAACTTCGTGTGTGTTTAATTATGTGTATGTATGGGAGGCGTATGCGCACATGAGTGCAGTGCCCAAGGAGGCCAGAAGAGGGCACCAGAGCTGGAGTTCCCGGTGGTTGTGAGCTGACGGACAGGCAGGCTGAGAACCAAACTCAAGTCCT